ACCCGAAACCTCAGCCTTCCTGCTCCTCTGATGCTGCCTGGCCTGCTGTGCTCCTCCAGCTCCACACTGTTAACTGTTTATTAACTCATTGCTGTTTGGTGGAGCTTGCTGTATGCAAAGTAGCCACTATGTTTCCTACATACAACAGTAACTAACTATACTTGAGAAAGTAAAGTGCTTTCAGATGTTCGGTGGTCATGAAGTGTGCTTTATAAATTCACCCCTTCAAGCCACCGGTTATGGCAGGGTCCAGGAAAAATCACTTCTCAGTCTCAGATTTTGTAGAAAAAAATTCTCAGAGGATATCAGAAATACAGAGAGGATGAAGAAAGCTGGGCCAGTACTGCGGTGCATAACATGCACTGTCCCTTTAAATGCCACAGATAATGCATACACTAAGTAACTCACCAGTAGAAGAGTGGCACTTCTTGGGTAGCAGAAAAGTGTAGGGTTTCTGCTTATTCGTCAGGTCAAACAAGTAGACCTGTAAATAAGAGAAATTCATTTTCTTGCCGTGAATTAACTTGTACAATTCAGTTACAAAACCAAACCAGTCTAGTGTAGTTTCACATTAAATCAACTAGAGGCAATCCTTGCTTAAAGTCATGTTGCATTCTTGAAAATTGAGATGTTGTCAGACAGCTTCAAATGGAACAGTTTTCCATAATAATCAGTGCACAAGTTGGAGATAAGTTAATTTTCAGTTAGTTGAAAGATTTGACATTGATAAATTTTACTTGAAAAGGTTTCACTTAAGAAAAACACAAAAATGCACTTATAGTGCTTCCTGTTCTTATTTTCAGTACCTTGAGCTCCAGGGGAAAAAGTTAAACAAAATTTAAGCCCTTTTCAGACAAAATTTGGCAAATGCCCTGTCATCTTTATCAAATGGTGTGTACTTTTCTTCTTCAATACCTGCCTACTTTCTCCTTTCCGGCTGCATTCAGTCGCTACACCTTCAGCCAACTTACCATTTGCTGGAACTCCCCTTCTCAGCATCTCCTCTACCATAAAAAGCTCTAGGTTCATGAAAGTAATGGTTATCAAATCTGCATCTTCTCCTTATCATTGATATTCACAATGGAACTCTAGCACAGATCAGATCAAGAGTAGGCCCGAAGCTACTGTACAGGATTGGGGTGGGGGGGGGAGGGGCGGGGGGGAGGGGAAACGACTAAAAGTTGGAGGATTTGAATGGGAGAGACACCACAGTTCATACAGGAAACTATTTTTAATTCATCCATGGGACGTGGGTCACTGGCTGAGCCAGCATTTATTGTCTATGTCCAATTGTTTTTGAACTGAGTGCTTTGCTAAGCCATTTCAGAGGGCAGTTAAGTAGAGTCCAATTTAAGATCTGCAGCAAGTGCTTAATGATTTCCACTCGTGGTAAATTTTCCATTTGTGTCTGTTTCCGTCTTAACATTCCACAGCAAGTGCTCTGCTGTTGATTAACAATTGGACTTAATTAGGAGCTAAATTATGCCTGAGGGCAGCACAAAGCAGGGAGTGGGATGGTGTTTGCTTTCATTAGAAGGGCTCTGGTCCCTTTCATGTGGCCAGTATCTATTATATCACATGAAATTACAGCAAATATGGCACGTTTTCTTTAAAAACTTTTTGTTCAATTTCAATTCATTAGCTAATTGCATTTATTTCTACTTATACCCAAGGTTCAAGCAGAGCCTGGTTTGCCTAGCAATTTTAAAGAACTACTCAGTGATATTTTATTGAATATCTGAGCAATTACTCATCATATTCCTTTAACACACTATCTTACATCCATTCATTACCTCAATGTATTCAAATCACAGGTTTAGATTGAGGGGAATGAAAACTAAGGTGTATTCTACAGGGTTTTGAGTGGATGTAGGGTGGCATAGTGATGAGGACAGTGCCTTGCTGCTCACAAGGCCTGAGGCGCATGCAATGAGGGATCGCTTCCACAGGGACAGAGTCGAAGAAGCACTGTCCACCCTATGTACAGGGCTGTAATATAAAGTACACAAATACAGCCTAACCTGTTTCCAGAATGCCTTTGATGTTAAGATAATGAATTGCCCTCTGTCCTACCTGCTCCCCTCCCATGTTGACTAAAAGCTCAGTTCCATCAGGGTTGAAGGCTACATAAGTGGCTACAAGCACACGGAGGCGATTGTTATAATCAGGCTGTTTCACTGGGAGATGACCTGCAAGAGAGAGAGAGACAGAAAGAGAGAAACAGAGAATTAACCAGAAACTACAGAACACTAAAATGTTTTTAATAGCTGGACAATCTCAATTAGGCTGAGCATACTCAGTGACAATAGTGGCAAGATACTCAACAGCAAGAGAAGCTCTTCAACTATAAGAGGATTAAATAGCCTCTTTCAGGTTCCAAACATGCACTTTCTGTCACTGATATTGTTGAAGTGATCACAGGAATGGAGAATTAGGGGCCTGGATATCTCTGTTCAGAATAGAGGTAGTTACACAATTTCCCCAGTGGTTCAGGTTCCAACTGTGACTTTGATATAAATAATTGTGATGCAAAAATCTTTAAAAGGTACATAGCAGAAGTATGTAATATTATCAGGGACAAAGGGGAATTACTGTTGGATTAACAGATTAGTTGGAGGTTTTATCTTTTAGTGACACTGGCACATATGGCACATCCTCTCATTCACCTTTCACTGGCACCACAAGCAAACCCATGAGCACATCCCTGTTCTAATAGCAGCCTGTTCCAGAAGAGAATTAGCATCTTTTGAACATGACCTATACACAATGGTCCGCACAAACAATTATTTCCTACACTTTTACATGCACAAAATGGTCCCAATAAACTTCTACCATTCTCATTAAGAATTTCAAACCCATAACTTTTAGCTACTCTCACTCCCTGGCACATGCTTACCCTATGTTCCTTCTACAATCTGTGAAACACCAGGGGATGTATACTATTAAAGATACATTGTGAAGTGTCCATTCAAGACTCATTTTAATCAAAACTAATGATGGAATTGAGTTACAGGAAGCGTGTGCGCGCATGCACTGGACAGTGGGGACACTGGTGAGGACAAAAATAGAAACTGCTGGAGAAACTCAGCAGGTCTGGCAACATCTGTAGAGGGATAAACAGTTAACGTAGAGTCCAGTGATCCTTTGGCTTGACAAAGCTTCACATCAGATTTTATGAAGCCAATCCCGCCACAAGTGTTGAAACTACCTGAGTATCACAGGGGCTTTGATTTCTATAATGTAGAACATACTATCTCTCCATTATCTACAACCTTGACCTGTTCAGTTTAAAGCTAGAAACTTGGTTTTGTTCTAGACTGGGTTAGGATTCCTTTATGTATGTTATCAGAATCCAGCAGATACATGACAAGGCCTGCTAATACAACACAAAGATTCAAAAAAAAGAAAAAAACTTTGAGGCCTGTGAACACGCCTGAATACATGCATCAAAACAGAATGCAGCATACCTGCCACATAATACTGAACAGCTCCATCTGGCACAGACTTGTACCTGTCACAAAACGTGTGCAACCCAGGGATTGAGCTCTGCTTTGCTGCTTTTCTGTCAAAAAGCAAGTAGTAAATGGTTACACACAACCCAGGCCAAAGACTTGAGGTAACATTGAGAACAAATCAGTTAAAAGAAACTGGGGCAATCCTCCATTCAATTGACAGAAATTTCTTTAACCCGAATCTTACTTTAAGCAAATCTATTGATCATGGACTGTGATTCGAATGTTACAGTGTGACACAGGCTTATACATTGATGATAAGCGTGAGAGAGCAGATCTCCAATACCTCTGACAACTAGAGCAGAGGAGGTGACAATGACATCAGACACAAGAGAAAGAACAAGATGAACTACTTCACTCTCTCTTGCTCTTGACCCTCTCCCCTCTATGCCTGAAGCCAACTTAGAATAGAGATTTCTTCTTGACAAAGTCAAACCTGAAGAAGAACCATCAATCCAAATGTTAATGGGACATTCATTAACTCCACCAAACAGTTTTGGGGCTTCAGTGGTAGCTTCAGAATATTTAGTTTTTTTTTGTAGCTGTGAATGACAGATTCAACACAAGTTTAAAGATTCACATCTCAGACCACGACTAAGTAGTTTGCCTGTGAGGACTGGTTTAAATGTTCTGGGTCAGGGAGAGCAGAAAAGTATTAAAGGTCTAGTTAGCCCTGTATTCAGTGAGAAGAGCACCAAGTTCAAAACGTGAAGCCTTAGTGAGATTGTGTGTCAACACTCACTTTCTAGGCACATACACAAATAATTACACTGGAGGGAGACAAGTACAGCCAGCCAGTGTCTCAAGAAGCAAAAGCCCAGAAAACTTTTAAAAAAAAAAAACAACAGAGCTTTGTTATAAATTTCAGGAAAGGAGACAGAGGTAGTCTAAACAACTGGGAATTCAGTTTGGGTATTTAATGAGCATAATCTAGAATCTAGTACACCTAAAAACCTGTAGGCAGACATACTGGGCACAGTGTTTTTCTGATATTGCTCAAACCAATTTTAAGAGGATCAACTGTCAAAACAGCAGACACATTCTTCTGAGCCTTACAATAGGAGTATTTCACTCTCCAAGCCAGAGAGCCCAAAATTGCACTGGCAGTCCAAGGTGATATTTGGGGCACCGCACTTGTAATTACTGCAATAATGGGTTTTCCAATACTCTGTTGAAGCAAATTTATTATTTGTAAAATTATGACATTTGTAAATTACAAGTGCTGGGTGAAAGAGTATTTTCAAAATGGAATATTCTGGACAGCTTGCATACATTGCTGTCACTGTACCAGCTGCTTCCGCCCTACCTGTGATTGTGAATCATACGAATGTCATAGACTCGCACAAAGGGACCACTTGCCCCGACAGCAAGATAATTATTGTTCTGAGGATTAATGGCTAGGCATTTAGCTTCCACGTGCTGCCCGCAGTATTCAGTGAGGTCCACCAGTACCTGTGAACGCTTACTGCTCTCTCTCAGGTCATACTGCCTGCAACAGGAAAGGAAAGATGGTGCATTAACAGAACTGAAGGCAAGTACTGCTATCAACTGCTCCTCTGTCTTGCTCCATAGTGATCCCCTTGCCCCTCTTTTTATTTCATTTCTCTTTTAAAGTTCTCCTTAAAAAAATTTACATCTTTGTTCAAACTTTTAGCCACATGTCCCAATGCCTTCTAAAGTCTGGCTGATTGCATTTGGCCTTGATGTTACAAATGCTGCATGGAAACTGCAGTAACATTCAGTGCTTATGGCTCATGAATTGAGGTGGGGTGCTCATAATACAGAAATGACAGTCATCTACAGAAAACATCCCACACTTACAGCATGTAAATGGTGGGGCCTCTGGTAGTAACAGAGGACCAGTAATGAGAGTCTAATACAAAGACACATCAAACCTAATACAGTCTTAAAATTCAAGATGGAGTGACGTGAATGTCAAAGACATGGACAACAAGTTGGGCAGTACGGATGTCTCTCCCATGCTAAAAAGTGTTACAATAAATGGCTGTAGAGTTACTACTACAAGCTGCAGCCAATCACAGGAAAGTAGCCTGCACTTTATCACATACCGGACTGTTCCATCCTCTGCCGCACTCCAGAATGTGTTAGGCCACATGGGAGCAGCTGCAATTCGCTTCACACGGTTGGTGTGCTCGCCAAACATATGAACGGTTTCCTTTACTGTCAAGTCGTGGACGTGCACCTTGGAGTCAGCAGCTCCAGTAATCAATGTGCGGTCGTTTGAGTGAGGAAGGAACTGGAAAAAAGGAAATTATAAAAAAAAAAGCAGGAATATCCAGCCATCCCAACATATAGCAAGCAGCGAAGGGAAGCAGAATTAACAAGTGGATTCAGGAACAGTTATTCTAACAGTGTTCCAGTTTCAAATAACCTCGAGTTAAGGGTCAAAGCTGTTCCATCCAGTCCCAGAGATAGGAGCAACATAGAAAATAAAACCTACAGCAAACATAAAACTTAAAAAATCTTCTCTACAGTTTGCACAACAGGATTCCACCTTCAAGGTCAAACTACATAAAACAAAGACATAGGACTACATTCCAGAAGGAAATCTGCCACCCTTACCTGGTCTGACCGACTTGTGACTCCAGACCCACAGCAATGTGGTGAACTCTCAACAGCCCTCAAATGAGCTAGAGAGTCAATAAGTTTAAGGAGAATTAGGGATGGTCAATAAATGTCAGCCATGCTAACATCGCATCCAAGAATCAAAACAATCCAATAAGAATACAAAGTTTACTAACTGCAGCAACTGTAAGTAAATACCTTCACCGTGAATATGTTGGCAGTGTGTCCAGTGTGCATGGTCAGCAGTTTCTTGCAGCTGAAGGGATCCCAGAGAATGGCATGTTGATCATCTGATCCGGAGGCCAACAAACTACAATTACAAAGAGAGAATGAATGCCTGCAAGTAGTCACACAGAGGGTGGAGTTTCAGAGTGAGGAGTAGTGAAAGGGAGGCCGAGTGCACCTGAAAGAGCTAAGTAGTGGAGGTCATTACTTACTCGCCCTTCTCGTTCCATTCCAGACAGTTTACACACCCAGAGTGACCCTACGGAACAGAAAGAAAGACCAGAAATAAGATTCAGATATCAAACCAACACCTGCAGCAGATAAATATACATCGCAACACAACAACATGGGAGTCTATGAAGAACAGGAGCTGGATCATTCCAATTGGAACAAGTGCTTATTGACAGCTTTAACAGATGTATTTTGAATAGTTTTGATGGAAGTGACAGGGAGAAACTGCTTCCAGTGGCAGGAGTGGTAACTGGACAAGACAGATTTAAGGGGACGAGCAAAAGAATCAGACAGACCATGAGATGATAAATTCATAGTACGTTGTGATCTAGACTACACTGTCTGAAAGGGAGGCTGAAGCAGATTCAGTGGCAATTTTCAAAAGGAAATTGGATAAACACTTGTAGAGGGGAAAACCTACAGCACTTTGGGAGAAGTATAGTGGAATGGAACCATTTACATAGTTCTTTCAAAAAGCTGGCCATGGTGCACTAAATGTTACAGCACAGAAAAAAGCCAATAGATTTCACATGCCATGCCTTTAATCATCTATGTTTTAGCAAGGCTAGCAGCGCTGGGAGTTCACGCATCTCACCTCCAGCTCACACTCGAGGCCCAGTCTCTTGATGAATGGATCAATGACATGATATCGACGTTCAAATTGTAGAGTGTTCCTTTCCTATAGGCACAAGGGACAGTGTAAGATACAGACAATGTTCATCATCCATTTTTCCAATCACCAAACTTGGCCCGCCCACCCTCACCACCTAACTCTCTAGAAGCAGGCTTTATCCTCTCAACAGCACCAGCTGCAAATCTCTGCCCTCCCTGACACAGCTTACACTACAACATGCACAAACGAGACCAGGAACACACTTAGTACCTTTATCTGCCGCTGGATAATGTCCTTCGTTATGTTAAGTGGCTCCATTGCTCTTAGCACAGAAGGTCACAGGATAGATCGGCTCTGCTGCTTTTCACTGTGCTGTAGATTAACACCCAGTTTTACACAGAGTGCAGAAATACAGAAATAGCCCACATTTAATCCTGGCAAGGAACAGCACAACACAGCACAGGAATCTGAAAAAAGACAGGAGAGAATCCAAAAATATTCCATTATCAATGGGGATTAGCACTCACCAGTAAGATAACAATAACATGCATTTATATTGCAATTTAATAAAACTTCCCAAGGACCTTTATAGGAGCATTAACATGAAAATGCTGGTCAAAGAGGTGAATATTCAGCACTATCCTAAAACAGGAAGTGGAAAAGATTAGAGGGGATTCCAGAGTTTAAGGCTTAGGCAGCCAACAAAAATATAGCAATAGAAATCAAGAAGTCTGAATTGGATGAATGTAGAGATCTTGGGATTGAAAGAGGATAGAAGGTGGTTTGGAGAGAATGAAGCCTGAGGAGATTTTTTTCAAAAATTGACACAATATAAGATTGAGAGCCAGTAGACTGAGGGGTGTTCATTGGGCTGTTGGGAGAAGGCAGACCTGAGAGATGACAGCCCAAGGATATGGGTGGAGGACAGTCAACACAGTGGGAGTTTGGGGGCTGAATGTGGAGGAGAGAAAGAGAACAATTACAAGGGTAGTCTGGAGGGCTCTTGTTCAATCTGGCAGTTAAAAAAAATAGGAAGGTCAAACAAACAGTATTTAATTGCGGGGGGTGGGTTGGGGAGAGATTGAAGAACTCTTTAGGACAGAGATTTGGTTGTCCATGTGTATGAACTACAAAAAGTTAGTATGCAAGCACAGAAAGTGATGAAGAAGGTAAATGGAATGTTATCATTCATTGCAAGGGAAATGGAACATAGAAGTAGAGAAGTTTTACTACAGCTACACAGGGCCTTGGTGAGGCCATGTCTGAAGTACATGTACAATTTTGGCTGCTTATTTGAAAATTAATATTACATCAGAAGCAGTTAAATTAAGGTTCACTCACTCAATCATTCCTGGGGTTATAATGCTTATGGGAAAAGGTTAAATAGGTTAGGCATATTATTATAAACTGGAGTTTACAACAAGGTGGATTTTTCCCCTTGTAAGAGATCAGAATTTAGGAATATAATTTAACAAAAAGAAGTGTCTCTTGAAAGATGGACAGTATCTTTTTCTCTCAGAAGGAAGTTTGTCTGTGGAATTCTCCCAGCAGCGCCAGCCCCAGAAAACAGTGGAGGATGGGTCATTCAATTTATTCAATGATAAGCAAGAATGATTTTTGACAATGAAGAGGTTATGGGGTTGTAGACTGGAAAGTTAAGGTCACAGTTTAGTCACAATCTTATTGAATGTGGAACAGGATCAAAGGGGTGAATAACCTACTGCTGCTCCTAAGCACCATGTTATGAGATAGAAATACAAGGAGGAGAAAATGGTACGGAAGAGTTTGCATAGGGAAACAATGGGGTCTTCAGAAAATGTTTGGGAATGGGGAAAGAGATGACGGCACAAGGATGACACAGTGGGCACTCATAGAAAAATCACAGAATCCCTACAGTGTGGAAACAGGCCCTTTGGCCCAACAAGTCTACACTGACCCTCCAAACAGCATCTCACCCAGACCCATCTCTCTACCCTCTCCCTGTAACCCTGTATTTCTCATGGCTAACACATCTCATCTACAAATTCCGGAACACTTTGGGCATTCCACCTGTACTGGTGTAGGAAACCGGAGCACCTGGCGGAAACCCACACAGACATGGGGAGAACATGTAAACTCTACACAGACAGTCGCCTGAAGGTGGAATCGAATCCAGGTCCCTGGCGTTGTGAGGGAGCATGCTAACCACTGAACCACCATGTCACCCCCGTCAGCATGGGTTGGGAGGGGAATTACGATGCTGTGGTGGGAGAATATTGTCACTGCGGTTGGGATCGAGGAGCATGACATCACCAGTCGGGGGTGGGGAGGGGGAAATGGCGACACCGCGGTGGGGTTTGGGAAGTGGGGGGATGATGACACGAAGGTGGTTGGGTTGGGGAAAGATTAAGGCAAACAACGACAGTGTAGTGGCACAAGGAAGTTGAATTGGGGGTATAATACTACAGAGGGGGGCGTCGGCAGTGAAGGGACAACTTGGGGAAAAGAGGAGTTGGGAGTGAATGGTGGCACAGAGGTGGAAAGGGAAAATACTGAGACAGCACCAGGTTTGGAGTAGGCACGGCAGGCGAGGAGATGTGAGAAGTGTTTACTATAACCGGCAACCTCGAGCTGGGCCGCCCGCAGTTAAGACAGCTTTAGACCGGTGTCGGGATCACAAACTCAGGCCCTATCAAGTGTCGCAGGTTGACAGCAAGTCACACATCAAAGGCCTCAACTATACCCGCCGATTCTACTGGCGACTCCATGTAGCCGCTAAGTGCGTGGTTCCCTGCCCCGATCGCTCGCTCAGGCTGATCCCCGGTCCCGGCTCCACTAGGCCCCTTCCGCGCACACAAATAGCGTCACCGCGCTTTCCCCGCCCACTCCGTCCTGAGTGTCAGTGGAGCTGTCCAATCAATGGCAGGAACACGCCCCATTCTGCCACCACCATCCAATCAGAGATACAACAGCACGCGGCGTGTTTATATAATAAGAGTGGGCGGGACCTAGGGCATCCTGGGAAATGAAGTTCGGAACCATGGAAACCGGACTGGATCCTCCAGTGACCGGACTTGGATCCCGAGTAAACCATGGAAACCTGCGCTGGATTTTCCAGTCACCGGAGCTGGATCCCGGGGAAATTGTGGAAACCGGCGCTGGATCTCCGTGACCGGAACTGGATCTCTCGGAAACCGTGGAAAGCAACACTGGATCCCCCAGCGATCGGAGTTGGATCCTGGAAAAACCATGGGAGTCGGCACTGGACACCCCCGTAACTGGAGCTGGATACTGGGGAAACCATAGACACCAGTACTGGATCCTCCAGTGACCGAAGCTGGAACCTGGTGAAACTTTGGAAAGCGGCAGTTGATCTTCCAGTGACTGGAGCTGGATCCCGGGGAAAGAATGGAAGCTGGCGCTGGATGCTCCAGTAATCGGAGCAGTATCCCAGGCAGACCGCAACTGTAATACAGCACTGGCTACCACAACCTGCAACCTGATGCCGAGGCAGAAATTTAACCTAAGAACGGAATCTCAAGTGGATTCTTTGGGGACTAGATCTGAAGTCTAGGAAATTGGTGAAGCGTTCCCAGTGAAAAGTAGGAACTGATTTCCAACAGCAATGGACTAAACTGCCTCACCCCTCATTCCACTCACATAGGTTATAGTTGTCAAAATAGGAGTCTGTCACTTGGATTAAAGTAGAATACCACAGATGCTGCCAGACCTGGTCAATGTTTCCAGCACTTTTCATCAATCACTTAGGACTGAATTCCTGGTAAATGAGGACATGGTACCAGTGAACCCTGAGAATTTCACCTGAGAATACAAAGTGAGATAAATTTGGGGTGTGCCACTTGTACCCTGCCATACCAGTGAAGAGAATATGGATAGACAGGCATAATCCTTCAGACACCCTGTAACTAGTGGAGATCAGTGCTGGGACCACAATTATTGACAATATATATGAACGACCTAGAGAAGAAAAATTAATGTAGTATAGTCAAGTTTGCAGATGATACAAAAATGCCCGGGAAGTCAAGTGTTAGGATGACTCAAAATTACTGCAGCAGGATATGTACAGGTTAAGCAAGTAGGCAAAAACTTAGCTGATGCAATATAATGTGGGAAAATGCAAGGTTCTACACTTCGGCATGAACAATAGAGGAGCTGAATATTATTAAATGAAGAAAGCTACAGAACAGAGAAATTTGGAGGTCCTCATCCATGAATCACAAAAAGCTAGCAAAAAAGTACCCACAAAGTGGGCAATAGGGAAGGCAAATGGAACACTGGTCTTTTTCAAATTGAATGGAGTCTAAAAATAGACAGTAGGTAGAATAACTTTTTGTTAAAACCACACAAATACTACAACTAGAAAACTGAACAGTTTTGGTCCTTTATTTAAGAAAGGATATATTGTAATTGGATGCAGTCCAGAGAAAGTTCACAAGGCTGATACCGGATATGTAGGGACTGTATTATAAGTCCACATTGACTTCACAAGCTTCAAAATCTCCCCTCCCCGACTGCATCCCAAAACCAGCTCAGCTCATCCCCGTCTCCCTAACCTGTCCGTCCTTTCTCCCACCTATCCACTCCTCCCACCTCAAGCCCCACCCCCACCTCCTATTTACCAGCCTCATCCCGCCTCCTTGACCTGTCCATCTTCCCTGGACTGACCTACCCCCACCCTAACTCCCCACTTACACTCACCATTACTGGCTCCAGCCCTGCCTTTTGACCAGTCTGTCTCCTCTCCACCTATCTGCTCCTTTATCCATCTTCCATCCACCTCCCCCTCTCTCTCTATTTATTTCAGAATCCCCTTCCCCTCCCCCATTTCTGAAGAAGGGTCCCAACCTGAAACGTCAGCTTTCCTGCTCCTCTGATGCTGCTTGGCCTGCTGTGTTCATCCAGCTCTACACCTTGTTATCGTAAATGCAGAAAGGTTGTTTCCCCTTG